ACAGAACATCCACATCCTGTTTTCCTAGAACAATGTCCTGTGACCTCTCTATTTATGGGCTTGGCTAGTCTAATCTGGGAGCTAGTCTTGCTCTGGTTTATGACTGGGAAAGAAATCCTTTTAACCATCTAAAAATCTAAGAAACTTTTAGAGATTTCTTTTCAAAAGTAGGTGGAAGCCTAGTTAATATTTATAGTTTCTGAGTACGTGTGCAGTTGAAAATTCCTTCATTTTAAAGATAAAAGTACTTATTTCAATTACCAGTGGTAGCTAATCATGCTTGGGGGCACTATTGCTGGGTGAGGGTCTAGGAATTCCCAAGATGCTTGTTGTAGTCCTTTTTCCCTCTGATGTCCCAAAGGGAAATAGATCCACTGGAGAGTAGTTGGAAAAACACCAAACCTATATAATTCCTCTTTGTCTCAATACCCTCTCTCGTAAAGCATATGAAATAATTGCTTATACCCCATAGAGTTGTTAGAAGTCCTGCATAAGTTAAAATACATAAGGTATTCTCTATTGCCTCCCTGATTTTTAAAAGGACGATGATGTAATGGTTATGAACCCTTAGGGCTAAACTTCTGTGTTCAAATACTCTTTCCACTAGATGACTAACTTTGAGCAAGTTGTTTAACCTTACTGTGCTTAGAGAATAATCATATCCAGGAGGATATTGTGTGGAATAAATGAATTAACACAAATCCTTGGAGCAGTACCTGGCTTACTGTAAGTGTTCCAGAAAGATGTACTGTTGGTATCATTACTACTACAACTACTACTACTACTACTACTACTACTACTACTACTACTATTTATTTATTTATTTGTTAGTGTGGCCTTGGCACTCAAATTCTAATGCAATATTCTAAGGAGCGAGGCTGAATCACATAAAGGTCTTCTGTTCTGTCTGCCAGGGAAACCTAAGAAACCACCATCCAGGTTGGCCGACGGTGGCTTGACCTGTTTTTTTTTTTTCCAAATCGAAGTCAGTCTTCTCCATTCTTACACTCTAATGTCAACCTTCTGGGGACAGAAGAAATCTATCAAGTAAGGCCAATATTAAGAATGTTTGCCCCAATGCAAAAAAAAAGAAGAAGAAGAAGAAGAAGAAGAAGAAGAAGAAGAAGAAGAAGCCTGCCTTAGGCTGCTTCTAACTGTGGAAAAAGCCCTGAGACAGGCTTAATGTCCTAAGAAGAGTCCAAGGAGAGACTGTGGACGAGAAAGAGAAGAGAGCAGGCCCACCTAGGAGTGGTACCTGGGTCACTCTATCAGTTCAACTGGAGAGAGGAAGCATAAGTGAAAAAGTTTTCCATAGGCCACTCCTGATTTTTCCAGGCTCTTGAAGAGAAAGAATTACTCTAAGAGACCACACTTCAGTCCTTACCAACTTTAACACAGCCAATAAAATGTCTTCGGAGTTGAAATGAGCTTGCTCAACCTGTGGGAGAGCATGGCCAAATCTGGAGATCAAAGGGTGTGTTCAGACATCCTTGTAAGACCAATTGACCAAATATCAATTTGCCAACAGTCATCTTTACAAGACCAATTTACCTAATGAACAACTCTAATTCACTGAAAGCTAAAGCCGGGAACATCAACCTGCTGAATGAGCACTTCATGGAAAACTGACACACAGTGTTTGATACCAGGTCTAGGACTGTTTGCCTACTAGAGGCCCAGCCCAAGCAGTTAGGGCCTGGGGGACCGCATGGTAAACTGGAGAAAATGTGGGAGGCTGTACTCTGCTCTAGTCAGTGGCTGCCTTATAGGATATGGACCCCATTTTACCACAGCCTCCAAATTTTCAAATGAAGGCAGAAATCTGGATTTTTATATGAATTATGCTGACATTTCCATTTTTGGCAAATATTTACAATTTGAAACGAAAACAAAACAAAAATTGTGCAGGCCAAATGTTCCATGCAGGCTTGAGTCTCCTTGTGTGCCTGCAGTCTACAATCTCTCTTGTTCACCCTGGGCATTTGCCTACTTGATGCTCACGCTTTCAGCTAATTGAGCACGGCCCCAAAGCTCCACAATACTTAGCAATATGTAATTTTGCTTAGGCACGAATTTGTTTCCCAAATGTTCCAAGTTGACTTCTGAATGTGATTTACTTAGCCAGTGAATGTGCTTATGTCTCTACCCAGTTTCCAGATTTCAGTGTGGCTTTTGGGGTTTTTTAAACCAAGTTTGAGTACATAGTGCCATTCATGAAACAAATAAAAGCTTTTGCTTTAAAAAGGGCTGTGGGAATCAGGACAGTAATGACTTTTAAGGCTGTAGATGGAAATGAAGAGAAAGTGAAAAGGTCTACTCAAGATCTAACTAGGAAATAGAGTTTAGGAAGTTTGAGGTAGGACTCAGTGAGGGTATCCATAGGAATTTTGAGTGGAAACAATCAGCATTTTTCAGAGTCTGGTGGCAAAGCATTAGGCAAGAAGTATATGAAGAGATTACTTGAAATTTTTGGTTATACTGTACTTTCTTTTTAAGGGGGAATTTATGTGCTATAAGGTATTTTTGAAATATTTTAAATTTAAAATATTTGTTAAATATTTTTGAGAGGTAGGGGTAACCCTTATGAATGCCAGGAAACTGTAGCACTTTATAAGTTATCTTAAATTCTTTTTAATGTTCAGGTCTCTCAAAGATTGCTGAGGGCAGTGACCACCTTTTTTCTTTTTTCTTTTTTTTTTTGCTATTTACCTTCATAATTCTAGTACAATGTCTTGCTCATAGGAGGCTCGTAATAAATTAAATACTTTGAATTATTTAAACAAATATGCCTTCTGGTTTTAAACATTTATGGCTTAAATATATATGTTTTAATCAAATCTAGAAATTGTGTATATGTCTTGGGTAGTGAAGGGGGCCATGCATCAGACTTGGAGGAATATAAAATGTACTGTGTTTTTAGTATCCAGACAGTATAGTCCATGATCTTAAATCCTCTCTTTGCAAACCCTTATCTTCTTAAAATATTTGGTTGAGTATATTATGTCAGGAGGTTTCTTCTAGGGTTTTAGTGTTCCCTGGGCTAGAAATAATATCAAATGAAAGTATCTTTGTGTTTTTCCTTTTGAATTCATATCAAAAGGTTTTGGCTGAAAGTGCCAGGTGCACATTTCAGGCACATTTTAAATAAGGTGTTGGAATCATCACAGAGTATTTGGTATTGGCTCAAGGAATCCATTTGGAGTTTCCTTCGAAGTGAGGATGCATGAACCTTCCAAGCCTAAGGCCCAATGCCTATTACATGGAGAGATTTCTCCCACCTCCAAATTGCCTGCATCATTTCTCTGTGTCCCTTTGAACTATTGCACTGTATTCCGGCATCTTAAGATACACCATGAAAACAGAGACAAGAGCTTAACTTTAGTTCAATTGTCTGGATCCCTTTGTTTGGCAGAGAGGCTTCTCTTTTAGGAACAGGAAAATTACAAACAGAGGCACCAATAGTCCAGACCTTGTCAAATTGTAAAGGACTTGATTAGTGCAGAGGGAAATTTCATTCTTAATTGTCATACATCACTCTTCGTTACCACTCTTTTTTCCCCCATAAAGTCCTTCTTTGAAAGCATTATGCATTCAATTGAGAAATTCTTTTGGGAAATTTTTAAAGACAGGATTTGGTTACTTTCTAGCTTTTTAGAAGCCACTAATACCTAATGCAAGAGATGACTTGTGAGATCTGGCATAGTTACTGAAGGAATGTTATCTCAGGATTGATCAACTCATGAGACCATATGTACAGAAATTGCTTGATTTTTTAAAAGTAGATTTCCACCCCAAATGGAGGAAGTTTCACAAGTAATATCAATCCTCATACATTCTTTAGTGTTCTTTTTCTCTGGTTATTTTTGAGATGGCTATTTCTATATTACCTCTGAAGTAACATGTTTACCTCTCTATCCTGGGCTAGTTACTCATTCATTCATTTAACAAATATTTTTAAAGCACCAATTATATGCAAGATCTATTGATAAAAACATACAAATAAATCAGAAAATAAGAGAAAACAAACTTATAACGCACAAATGTTAATTTTCAAATGTTCAAGTATTATGCAAGGATGTACTCTTCTGGGATTATTTTGGCAAGTTACTAGGACTTATTGGCAAAGAACTTTGTCCTTGGTAAATTGCTGAAATATTTGCTTCAGTCCATGTTATACTCTGTATTTTGAGCTCAATTCTGCTGTCTATAACTAGACCACAAATTCCTTTTAGACAAAACTTGATTTTTAAAATTTTCGTTGAATTTTATTTTCAGCCTACCACACCTTTTCTTTGTAAGAAATCTCATAAAAGTAAATCTGATGTTTAAGATTTGTGAAAAGTAGGGGTGCCTGGGTGGCTCAGTAAGTTAAGCGTCAGACTTTGGCTCAGGTCATAATCTCATGGTCCATGAGTTCGAGCCCTGTGTCAGACTCTGTGCTGACAACTCAGAGCCTGGAACCTGCTTCAGATTCTGGGTCTCCCTCTCTCTCTCTGTCCCTTCCCCACTTGTACTCTGTCTCTCTCTCAAAAGTAAATAAACATTTTAAATATATTTAAAAAAAAAGATTTGCAAAAAGCAATGGTGATATCAAAGCCTAGAACAAAATATTTGGTGTTTTGACTTACTATCATTATTTGATTTTGCAACCCCCCCCATTATCTTAAAAGACTTTATACCCATCTTTGCTCCCAATCTCCAAATAGGACTTTATGAATTTATAAAATTAGTGGCTTAAAACATTTAAATTTTTGGTTTTTAGGAATTTTATTACATTGCCTTAGATAATTGCATTTTCCCTAACATATAATAGTAAATATAAAAATGTTGCTAAATTAGAAAAATTGAATTTCAGTTACTTCGAATATTGACTTTAAACATATGCAGAACCATTGTTACTTGTGTTTTAGAATGTAAATAATAACATTTTAAATCTAAGAATGGTGACTTCAAAAATCTGATAAAAAATTATTTGTTTTTAAATATTCTTTTGCTATTAGGTGATTTGGGCTCTTGGGATCTGCTCATTTGCCTGTCTTCCAGGAAAGCTGGTGGAAAACCTTGCATATCCAAGGAAGACGTGTGCCAGTTAGGTTTACATCAAAAGGTAAATATTCTTTTTCAAAATGTTTACAGATTTTAACAGCCCTTGAATATTAACACCAGTATATCTTGGTCCATAATGGTTTTTTTAATTTGAGAAAAGCATCAAAAACTTACAGCTATTTCTCAGTAGTGAAATAATATAGTAGCTACACTGATCATTTGATATTTCTGCAGTTGACTGTCTTGATAACTCCTTCTTCCTTGTAACTTCTGACTCCATTGGCCCATGGGCTGAGCACGTTATTTTTGTTCTTCTTGTCCATCTTTGGCCATTCCTTCTCTGTTTTCTTCATAGCCACCTTTTCTCTGGTCATACTTTAGATGCCTGTGTTCCTCAGCACCACTCCCAAGGTGGTTGATGATTCCCAAATGTACATCTAAAATTCAAGCACTTTTCCAGGCTTCAGGCTTGTGTGTATAATGCCTGCTGAACATCACTTTTATATCACACAGACACCTCAAAGCCACCGTGGGGAAAACTAGTGCATATGTTCCCGGGTAAATCCACTTCTACTCTTGCATTCAGTAGCCCTGTAGAACTTCTATTATATTGGTCATAAGCATGATCAACCACTCTGTCCCTCCCTAAGGTAGAAATCTGGCCTTCACCTCTGATCAATTCCTCTCCTTTGTCATCTTCATTCTATCAATAATTGGTGCTAAGGAATTTAACTCCTAAATACTTCTCAAGTATCTTATTTCTCAAATATCCATACCCACTACTTTTATTCTGGCCAGATAGTCACCATATCTTGCCAGGGCTATTACAGAATCCTCTTTACTTCTTTTTTGAAGCAAATATTTTGCCCCTGAAATCCATCCTGCCTACAGTTTTCAGGATGAAAAATATAAAATGCAGAACTAACCTAGTTAGTCCTGTACTTAAATCTTGAATGACTTTACATCAAGTATAAGATGAAGTCTGTAGTTTTCTTCCCTGTGACTATCAGTCAACCTCCAAGCAGGAGACAAATTCCATACTTGAAAGGACTTAACTGAAGAGAATCCAATGAAAGAGTTATTTACTGAGGTTTTGCCAAGATAAGAGAAACAAGATTAGAGAGATCTAATAAAAAAGATTAGGGAAAAAAAAAAACAAAAAACAAAAAAAGATTAGAGGCATCCAGGGACCAGCAACATCATAAAGTTTTACTACCGTTGGTCTGAGGAAGGGTTTATAGAGGGAAAGGTTAGCAAAGCCTAATGAGAGCTGGAGCCAAGAAAGAAAGGATTTATAAAGTAGGGAAATGTAGCCATTGCGAAATCATAAGCCATAAATCCATAAGAGGAAGTCAGGGAAATAAGTACTCAGCCTCTCTCTACTACCCGCCAAACTCTTGCCAAGGCCTCCTGTTGGTGCCACGCATTATTCTATGTGCTCACATATTTATTTATGTCTATTCTTTACATATGAGGAGACTGAAGCACAGAAAAATTAAGAGAATTTCCTAAGTCTTCATAGATAATAATTGAAACAACCAGGATTCAAACTCAGTCAGTTTGACTACAAATTTTGTTTTCCTAACTACATCAGTATAAAATCTTTCTAAATAAATATGTAGGACTACATTTACAAGCCTATTGTCATGAAGATTCTTAAAGAATGCATAAGCTTTAAATGATACATATTAGATAACTGTCACTTTGGAGCATGAATAATTTGAAGCTTTATGAATCATGACTTAATTATATGAACATAAATATTCAAAACAAGTTGCTTCAGACTTGTTGGGATTCTTAGATGAACAAAGAAAAGGGCCTCTGCTCAAATTAGGATTACTAATCACATGAGAGTTTTGGAATCTAAATGCTTAATGAAAGTGATCATAAGATTTGTTATAAAAAATGAATGGCCTGGAGCCTCTCTAGTCAGAAGGAAAGTAACATGATTTTAAAACTGTATTGGTCCTTGTGATGTGGAAAGTGAAGTGAGGTCCACTATTTGGGGTAACACTAAGTTTAGTAACGGGCTGTATTTCACCTTTAACAGAAAGGTTCTACTGTTTCAAGAGCAGAGGGATTCATTTCTAGCTCTAAATGTTTGTAGGATTAGCAGTCCCTAAAACAGCATGCTGTTTTTAGTACCCGCAGCACTGAGAAATACTAAAATGGCTCTTATTTTAAAGCATTTGAGCACATTTTCAGATGAATTTGATGGAATGATAATTGCACAGGAGACAGAAGGGGATAATGACTCTTCTTGTCATTAGTTCTCTTGTGGGTGATACTGAACAGCTTCCAGAGAACATCTGAGTTGTGATAAAATAGAGAACGTTTGTACTGACCTAATGATGAGAAAGAGCAGAAAAAGGTATTCATGTGTGGTGTGTGTCACTCTTGGTATTCATGAATGACCCCTCCCAGTTTTTTCCTTTGGGCGCTTTCTTCCACACTTCATAGTTATTAATAGTCCAAACTCAAAGGTCTACTCTCCTTGATGAGTTAATCGTATTACTATAGTTTTAGTTTATAAACACATTCTAAGTGTTTATACTTGATATACTGTTTTTATTAATGCAACTATGTCTCAAAATAAGAATGATTTTTTTTTTACTTTTGCTTCTGGTCATCTGTAATAGAAACAATTTAGATGTAGAATACCCACAGATTAGGATTGCGGAAGGTATGTGGGGACTGAAATCTTTCTAAATGCACATTTCCTTTTTCTCAGTTTGATCTCAGAAATATCCCAGGATCCAAACATCATTATCATTTTCCATATGCATTCTAATCCTTTCAAAGATATGAAAGGTTTTATGCCAAGAAAAAAAACAGCTCGTATAAAACATGCATACACATATAAGTGTCTGTAAAACATTCAAACCCAATACAAAATCAGAGCGTGTTGAAAATAATTATTAGGCTGATAATAATGTGTCAGTGTAGATTCTTTAAAAATAACAAATATACCACTCTGGTGGGGTTGAATTCAGCTAATCCAAGCAAATGTCATTGATGATGTTCCTTTTGATAATGATGGAAATTTTACATGTTTTATGAAGTACATAAGAATAAGAATAAAAACCAAGTATTGGGATATAGAAGAACATGATTAGGTTTAACAATGAAAATACATGGAAAATATATGTAATATAGTTGATTTGCTATAGCTATAGGACCCATAGCCTTTGAGTATGTTTCTTTGTGCCAGGTTATTTGGTTTAACTGCCTAGGTTGGTGCTGTCACACAGAATGGAATGGAAATGGTATTTCTGGTGTCACGTGTCACCTCGGTTATGTCATCTGCTGAGACTCTGTGAATTCTAAAGATGTGCTTTGGAGGAGGGGCCACGGGAAGAGGTCACTGGGTAGAGGATGGGAAAGTAGAAGCAGAAGCCTGAAATGGTCATTTCCCTTGGCCCGGCTCTGCTCTCTTGGAGCAGGTGCTTTGTTGATCCTGAGTCCGTTCATGCTTCTGACCGAAGATCTCCTATAGACAGTCACCTCTCTGATAAGACCCAGCAACCTGCACTTCTGTCTGAAATCTATGCAAGCTGTACTCGGTCTTTGCAGTATCTATGCAAATTCTTTTGGCCCATTAGCTCTGTTATGGTTGCCCATTGACCGGGACTCTTTCAGTTTGTAAAAGACGGGACAGCTCATCCAGCATACTCTGACCTTTTGGCATAACAACACATTTGCTGTGAGCTCTTCAAAAAGTATGAGAAAGTTTTAAACTGGACCTTGTCAATAAATAGCCTTTAATGATACTTACTTATGCACCCTGGGTGGCTCAGTCAGTTAAGCATCCGACTTTGGCTCAGGTCATGATCTCATGGTTCTTGGGTTCAAGCCTGCATGGGGCCCTGTGCTGACAGCTCTGAGCCTGGAGCCTGCTTTGGATTCTGTATCTCCTTCTCTCCTTGCCCCTTTCCCACTCACTCTCTCTCAAACATAAATAAGCATTTTTAAAAACTGATACTTACCTAAAGCTACTTTTCTTTCTGGATCCTTCTATTAAAGTTTCTATTTAGTCAATAGCAACTGAGCAGTTTTGTCTGGGGTGGAAAAAAATGGTTCAAGTATATTGACCTTTAAAGCTTTTGACAATCTAATTTAGAAAGGTTCTTTTGTCTGTTATCTTTAAAGAGCAAAAAGCTAAAACAAGCAAACAAACAAAAAACCTTTATTGTAGTTTTTCCACACTTTTGCAGTATTCTGCCTCTTCCCTCCAGCATTTCTCAGGAAGTCTGAATTGTAACCTTAAGGATTTTCTGAACACCCTTCTTTGTTTTCCACTTTGAGTCTCTGAACTTTCTCATTTTTAAATTTGAGAAAGTAGACATGCCTAAAATCTAAAGTGTACCATATTTCTAGCCATTGCTCCACTCCCCGTGCCGTAAGAAGGAAAGTGACTCAGACTCTGGTACCTTTGGAAACTTTCAAACTTGAGGATTGAACAATGTGGTTCCTGCAGATTCACAGAGCTGGTTCTGCTGCCGGCTGGGCTTCATTCATACACAATGTGGACTGAAGTTTACTGTTTGCTGAATAAGTTAATAGAGTTTGCAGGATTACAGGGGTTGGAGAATGTTTTTTGCTTTTTTTTTTTTTTAATTTGTTGTCAAGTTAGCTAACATACAGTGTAGTCTTGGCATCAGGAGATGATTCCCGTGATTCATCACTTACATACAACACCTGGTGCTCATCCCAACAAGTGCCCTCCTCCATGCCCATCTCCCATTTTCCCTGCCCCCGTCAAAGGGTTGGAGAATGTTTAATCAACACACTATTTCAAAGCGCTTTAAGGGAATCATTTTTTTAAAAATAGTTTATTGTCAAGTTGGTTTACATGTAACACCCAGTGCTCATCCCAACAAGTGCCCTTCCCCAGGCCCATCACCCCCCATCCCCTCCCCCCGACCCCTATCAGCCCTCAGTTTGTTCTCGGCATTCAGGAGTCTCTCATGGTTTGCCTCACTCCCTCTCCCCAGCTATTTTTCCCTTTCTTCTCCCTCATGGTCCTCCGTTAGCTTCCTCCTAATCCACCTATACGTGCAAACATGGTATCTGTCCTTCTCTGCCTGACTTATTTCGCTCAGCATAACACCCTCAAGGTCCATCCATGTTGCTACAAATGGCCAGATTTCATTCTTTCTCATTGCCGTGTAGTATTCCATCGTATAGATAAACCACACCTTCTTGATCCATTCATTAGTTGATGGACACTTAGGTTCTTTCCATGTTTTGGCTATTGTTGAGAGTTCTGAGAATCATTTATTTTTTTAACTACAACCGATGATTGCATTACTACTTGATAAAAATCTTAAGAGAAGCAGTGTAACTCAGTGACCAAAAGCGCTAAATGCTTTATTTACAAATGAAGAAATTGAAAAAGAGAAGCAAAAGTGACGTGCTCAAAGTTACGATTCTGTCAAATGTCGTAAGTAGGACCATAACTCATGTTTCTGGTTCTCCAACTGCAGCTGAGTTACTTTCCTAAAGCTTTGTCAGTAGAACACAGCAGAGAAACTACATTACTTGATTAGTTTAGAGTGAGTTAAATTTGAAAGTATTCAATAATTTCTCAAACGTGAACCTGATTTTCAAGCTAATTTACCATGATCTCTTTCTGTTGGTTTTAACAAGACTTTGCCATTTGAGGCATTATTTTTGGAATTTAGTTAATAATAGCTACATAATCAGTCTGTGAATTCAGAAGAGAAGAACAGATTAAGCTTGTTTGTGTTTTTTCTTTAGAAGTTAAACGTATATTTGAATTTATGATAACTTCTTTTTAAATTTTTTATGTTTTATTTTATTTTTGAACGAGAGACAGTGTAAGCAGGGGAGGGACAGAAAGAGAGGGAGACACAGAATCTGAAGCAGGCTCCGGGCTCCTAGCTGTCATCACGGAGCCGGACGCAGGGCTTGAACTCAGACTGCAAGATCATGACCTGAGCTGAAATTGGACACTTAACCGACTGTGCCACCCAGGCGTCCCAATTTATGATAACTTCTATGAAGCTTTCTAAGAACAGTTTTGTTTTGTTTTTAGAATAGCATTTTACAGTGACTGGATTTTATATATGGAAGCAATAATGCCCTTCAAAATGAAGGGAAGACTATATGTTAAATTTTGAAACCGGATTAGCACTGAATTTCCCACTAAAATGTCTGTGATTTAAATCAGTGAGCGCCTTTGGAACGTCAGAGTCTAGTTGACTTTGAGGTATGTTTAGTGCTACTTTCTGCCAAAGCAAAATTTGCAATTGTCAAGTTATTTGTGTTACTCTATTTACCATAAGAATGTAAACATTTCCTGTTAGTTTTAGCACATACCATGGTTTTGAAATACATCAAGGTTTTCAAAAATATTGTCAAATTTCTAAGGGCAAATTTTTGTTTTATGTTATCAAATATACGACTTTATTATTCTGGATTTAAATGTTGGCTTGCAGAGATTTGAAGGTAGGGTGTGGATGGAGTACACTGTAGTTCACATCTATACCCTGTGAGTTTTTGCATTTTCTTTGCTTTAGCATTCATGAATGCCTAACTCACTAGAATCTTTTTCATTCCTTGCAGGTAAACATATTACCAGAAATACAGCATCAGCTTTGCAGTAAAGAAGGATTATGTCAAATAATTAGAAGATTTCCAGGTAATCTTTAGTTTGCCTCCTTATGCATAAACATGTGAGATATGTAGCCTGCTTTAGCAGATACCAAATAATGATATCTCAGATCCATATATTTAGCTCCTCTGTCTATCATTTCACTATCACAAATCTTCCAGAATCCACAAGGTTTTGCCCATGGGGAGACTCTGATAAAAAGGAATACAAATGCAACATTGGTATTCTTTCTTTTAGTTTTGCCTTCTAACTTTCTAGGTGAATATTCCCTTCTTCCTTTGTGTTTTTCTTTAAAATCATTCTTGTTTTATTTTAAAAGCAGTTATTATAATACTTCTTAATTATATAAATTTTGAGGCTTTAAAAATATATGTATTTCTTCATGATTAGTTCTGATCTTAATAAATTTGTTTCTTTTTTCTTTGAAATTCCCTGAATTTGCCTGTTTTTGACAGGATACTGAATGGGTAAAATTTTTTGCCTTGACAACATTAGAAATTTGGGACAAAAATTACCATCTCATTTCCTCATAGATTCCCAGGCTGAAGGAAAAATCAGATGGTCTGAGTCTTCATAGATCAAATTATAGCTTACTTTAAAACCCATCAGTGAAAGGGTCTCTCAGATTTCTTGTTTAAAACTTATTTAATGTTATGCAGCTTATGCCCCTAGAAAATATTTCATTATCTAATTAAAATTTAGATCTGCATAGCTTCAGTTCCATTTTTAAAAATTTAATTTGTGTCCTAGTGGAATCAGAAAACTGGTATCTTACCCCACTGGGTTTTCCATGGGGTTTCTGCTTCCATACCAAACATAAACCACATTGGCGTGTCCCTTGTAAAGACTAGTCTTCTGCTGTCGTGTATTAAGGATTAAAATAAAGTAAAAATGAATCAAAAATTCAACTTTCAATTTAAGGTACTTGTCTAAGATAAATAATAGCTGTACAAACTTCGTCTTAATAGTTATTGCTTTATATGGCAGTTGTAACTGACTCCATTATCTCAAAGATTTATTTTGTTTCTGTAAACTTCAGCTGGGTAGTTTTTTATTTTATTTATTTTATTTTTTTTTAATTTTTTTAATGTTTTATTTATTTCTAGGAGAGAGAGAGAGACAGCGTGAGCAGGGGAGGGTCAGAGAGAGAGGGAGTCACAGACTGAAACAGGCTCCAGGCTCTNGACAGAACACACACACACAACATTGGGAGGAGTGGCGTTATTCTTCTTTTACAAATTTGTTTTGGTAATGATAAATCTTGTGCCTTTATATATACAATTTTGTTTAAAAAAATTTTTTAATGTTTTTTATTTATTTCTAGAAGAGAGAAAGACAGCGTGAGCAGGGGAGGGTCAGAGAGAGAGGGAGTCACAGACTGAAACAGGCTCCAGGCTCTGAGCTGGCAGTCAGCACAGAGCCCGACGCGGGGCTCAAACCCACGAACCGCGAGATCATGACCCAAGCGAAAGTCGGACGCTTAACCGACTAAGCCACCCAGGCGCCCCTATTTTATTTTTTAAAATGTTATGTTTTTGTGAGATGCAAGTAAAGTAATTATTTCCATTAATACATTATTAGGAAGTATCTAGGAATCCTCTCAGGAATTTGAAAAAAACTATTTTTGTTTATATTTTGAACAGAGCCTACATATTTTTAAAGTATGTTTTTCTTTGTTGCTACTTACATTTCCTTTTTTTAAAAAAATATATAATTTATTGTCAAGTCAGCTAACATAGAGTATATAAATGTGCTCTTGGCTATGGGAGTAGATTCCCGTGTTTCGTAACTTACATACAACACCCAGTGCGTATACCAATGAGTGCCCTCCATAATGTTCATCACCCATTTCACTTTCCCCTCCCACTCCAGCAACCCTCAGTTTGTTCTCTGTATTTAAGAGTCTCTTATAGTTTGCCTTTTTCTCTGTTTGAAACTATTTTTTCCCTTCCCTTCCCCCATGGTATTCTGTTGTTTCTCACATTTCACATAGGAGTGAAAACATACGATATCTATCTTTCTCTGACTGACTTATTTCACTTAGCATAATACCCTCGAGTTCCATCCACATTGCTGCAAATGGCCAGATTTATTTTTTCTCATTGCCATGTAGTATTCCATTATATATATAAGCCACATCTTCTTTGTCCATTTATCAGTTGTTGGACATTTCGGCTCTTTCCATAATTTGACTATTGTTGAAAGTGCTGCTGTAAACACTGGGGTACATGTGCCCCTGTGCATCAGCACTCCTGTGTCCTTTGGATAAATTCCTAGTAGTTCTATTGCTGGGTCATAGGGTAATTCTATTTTTAATTTTTTTAAGGAACCTTCACACTGTTTCCCAGAGTGGCTGCACCAGTTTGCATTCCCACCAATAGTGCAAGACTCCTTTCTCCAAATCCTCACCATCATCTGTTGTTTCCTCAGTTGTTCATTTTAGCCACTCTGACCTGTGTAAGGTGGTATCTAAATGTGGTCTTGATTTGTATTTCCTTGATGATGAGTGATGTTGAGCATATTTTCATATGACTATTAGCCATCTGGATGTCTTCTTTGAAAAAGTTTCTATTCACGTCTCCTACCCATTTCTTCACTGGATTATTACAAAGTTTTTTTTTTTTTTTTAATTTATTTCTAGGAGGGAGAGAGAGAGAGCGTGAGCAGGGGAAGGTCAGAGAGAGAGGGAGATACAGACTCTGAAATAGGCTCCAGGCTCTGAGCTGACAGTCAGCACAGAGCCCACGTGGGGCTCGAACCCACAAACCGTGAGATCATGACCTAAGCGAAAGTCGGACGCTTAACCGACTAAGCCACCCAGGCGCCCCTAGTACAAAGTTTTTTGGAGGTGTTGAGCTTGGTACATTCTTTATAGATTTTGGATACTAACCCTTAATCCAATATATAATTTGCAAATATCTTCTCCCATTCTTTTGGTTGCCTTTTAGTTTGGTTGATTATTTCCTTTGGTGTGCAGAAGCTTTTCATCTTGATGAGGTCCCAGTAGTTCAATTTTACTTTTATTACTCTTGCCTTCAGAGACATATCAAGTAAGTTGTGGCTGAAATCAAAGTGGTTGTTGCCTATTTACTCCTCTAGGATTTTGATGGCTATCTGTCTCGCATTTAGGTCTTTTCATCTATTTTGAGTTTATTTTTGTGTAGTGTAATAAAGTGGTCTAGTTTCATTCTTCTGCATGGTGCTGTCCAGTTCTCCCAGCAACATTTGCTAAAGAAACTGTCTTTTTTCCATTGGATACTCTTTCCTGCTTTGTCGAAGATTAGTTGGCCATTCTTTTGTGGGTACAATTGTAAGCTGCTTACATTTCAATATGGTTGATTCAAAACAGTAAGTTTCTTGGGGTGCCTGGGTGGCTCAGTCAGTTGAATGTCTGACTTTAGCTTAGGTCATGATCTCGTGGTTCATAAGTTTGAGCCCCACATCAGGCAGAGCCCACTTTAGATCCTCTGTCTCTCCCTCTCTGCCCCTTCCCTGTTCACATTCTTTCTCTCAATAAATAAAACACTAAAATAAAACCATTAAGTTTCTTTACCACTGGAGTTAGCAGAACATGTAGAATCATAGGAATAAAAGCTCATTTATACCCAGAAATAAGTTATCACTTTAAAAATACTCACCAAACAACTCTTACAAAAGTTTATATTTTATATTTTGCTTCCGTACAGTTAAGACTTTTTTTTTCTTACAAATAGTTTATTGTCTAGTTGGTTTCCATATAACACCCAGTGCTCATCCCCACAAGTGCCCCTCTCTGCCCATCCCCCCTCCCCCCCCACATCCATCAGTCCTCAGTTTTTGTCAGCATTCAAGAGTCTCTCATGGTTTGCCTCTCCCCCTTTCCCCCACCATTTCCTCCCTTCTCCCCACTGGTCCTCTGTTAAGTTCCTCCTAATCCTCCTATATGTGCACACATATGATATTTGTCCTTCTCTGCCTGACTTATTTCGCTCAGCGTAACACCCTCAAGGTCCATCCATGTTGCTACACAAGGCCAGATTTCATTTTTTCTCATTGCCATGTAGTATTGCATTGTATAGATAAACCACATCTTCTTGATCCATTTGTCCGTTGATGGACACTTAGGCTCTTTCCATGTTTTGGCTATTGTGGAGAGTGCTGCTATGAACATTGGGGTACATGTGCTCCTATGCATCAGCACTCCTGTATCCCTTGGGTAAATTCCTAGCAGTGCTATTGCTGGGTCATAGGGGAGTTCTATTGTTAATTTTTTGAGGAACCTCCACACTGTTTTCCAGAGGGGCTGTACCAGTTTACATTCCCACCAACAGTGTAGGATGTTGCCCGTTTCTCCACATCCTCGCCAGCATCTGTAGTTTCCTGATTTGTTCATTTTAGCCACTCTGACTGGCGTGAGGTGGTATCTCAGTGTGGTTTTGGTTTGTATTTCCCTGATGAGTAGGGATGCTGAGCATCATTTCATGTGTGTGTTGGCCATCTGGATGTCCTCTTTGGAGGAGTGTCTGTTCATATCTTCTGCCCATTTCTTCACTGGGTTGTTTGTTTTTATGGGTGTGGAGTTTGGTGAGTTCCTTGTAGATTCTGGATATCAACCCTTTATCTGATATGTCATTTGCAACTATCTTTTCCCATTCCGTTGGTTGCCTATTAGTTTTCTGGGTTGTTTCCTTTGCCGTGCAGAAGCTTTTAATCTTGATGAGGTCCCAAT